GTAGCTTCTCGTGTTCTTCTAAAAAGTCCACTGAAAAAGTTTTAGTAAATAATACACATTTTACTAAGACTTTAATTCAGCCCATCTCATCTCGATTTATTTAATTTCATCCCAATTGATAGAAGTTTCAAATTAATCAACTTCATATACATTTCGTTTCAAATCATTTTTTATATTACTAGAATATAAGAAGAAAGTTTAGGACTTGCCTTAAAGGTCTCATTACATAACCACAATAAAAAAAAAAGATTTGACAGCTCTGTTTTTCTGACATCGCTGTCACTCACACCTTGTTTCCTATTACGGTGTTGTCACCATCGAAAATAAGTTAATAGTCCGACATTTATGTACGTATTTAAACTAGCTAGATGAAAATAAGATAAGGTTGTATTAAACTGTTGCTGTAGAGTTTCTATAGTACTCTTAAACATTGACGTCATTGTGCATAGACTAAAGTTTCTCTAAATTCATTTTTATTGTTATATGTAATACATGCAAATATGCGATTATTATGTTACATTTTTCTGTATCAGGGGCATTCAGGGGCCAATAAACGAACAATTATGTATGAACGTTAGTATTGTGTGTACAGGTGCAAAAATCGTACATTTGCATAGATAACACATGTATTTTGAAAAAAACAAAATTTTTTTTTGGTTGCCAGCATCCAATAGCAACCAACTGTGCCAGTCACGTGTGGAATGTACCTGACCTTCATCAATTGGATGAGGATTACAATCAAACTGCATAATAAATATAATTTGATACTATTAATTAATTATTCGTTGTTTGTCTGTGTGAATTTAAATAAATTCGATACATACATAATGATATATTTTTTAGCTTTTATTTTTGTTTTTAGTTAATCTGGTATCTTTCGATTAGTTTTCCTTAACTTCGGAATGTTTTTTTTGTTTCATGTTCATATAAATATTTAAAAATATACTTTTAATGTTATTCAACATGCACGAAGATGCGAAACTTTTAACCTTATAGGTTTTTTGTATAATTAATTTTAAGCTGATGTGCGATATTAATTTGTTTGTATCTTTTTATTGTGTATTTGGTGTTAAATCGTGGGCAGTGCGTACCTAACTTTGCCTTCTTTTGATTTTTATTCTAAGTTTTAGTTGTCTTGTATGGATCCGTCCGTCCGATCTTGTCCGTCTTGTATGGATCCGCTTGTTGGACTACGAAAGTGGCGGATGAAAGGCGATTGCATGCAGCAGAGATGCGAATGTTGCGATGGATGTGTGGAGTAACGAGAATGGATAGAATACGAAATGAATATGTTAGAGGAAGTCTGAAAGTGGCACCTATGACAGAGAAGCTGAGGAGTACACGTTTGGGATGGTATGGACATGTGATGAGACGAAATGAAAATGAGGTTGTTAAGAGAGTGTTAACTATGAATGTGGACGGATTTAGAGGAAGAGGTAGATCTAAGAAGAATTGTATGAAAGACGATATGGGTAGGAGGGGAGTGAGCGAAGAAATGGTATATGATAGAAGAGTATGGAAGGAGAAAACATGTTGCGCCGACCCCAGGTGACTGGGAGAAGGGCAGGAGAATGATAATGATTTAGTTCTTTAGGTCTCTTATTAATAGATTCATTCTCAGTACCTTCGAATTCGTCTTTCCCAGAGTTTATATTAGATATTGTGGCGCTTTAGTAACAAAAATCGGCATAATTATTATTTTAATACGCCACGTAGGGCTTAATAGCAGTTAGTTTTTATTTTAATTCCATAGATGAGTGGACGAGCTCACAACCCACCTGGCGTTAAGTGGTTGCCGGAGCCCATAGACATCTACAACGTAAACACCGTCACCTTGAGATATCAGTTCTAAGGTCTCAGTATAGTTATAATACTCAGTATAGTAAAGAAAGATTACATGTGGCCCGGAGGCCTTTCCAGTTTCACCAGGACAGATGGGCAAGCAAAGGCTCAGCCAGGAGGGGTGGGATTTGCTAACAACTGCCCGAGCGCCTCCGAAGGAGACCTAACAACTGAAGAGCAATTGCTTCGCGAATGAAGATATTGTATCTGTTTTTCAAATCGAATTTAGTGAAATTAACTATTTCAATTTTGAACACACAATGTACTTTACTGATGTTTTAATCACATCCACAACCCGGACCGGTTATTAAGCGAACCTCTCGACTGAATAAACATAAAGTCATTAACATTGTAGTATATATAATATCTGTTGCTCCCATTTTTGCATTACAATTAAGTATTTAAGAATAATTTTTTTTTAAACGTGAGAACTATTGAAGCGCATCTCCGGGGTGCGCGTATTTTATACACGTTTTCTTTATCGTGTTTTTGACACTGACGATTCTCGTTCTCGAAGTGGGGCCCGGCGGACCGTGCCAACCGGATATTCAACACCGCCGCGCCATGTCGTGACATTTCGTCAGGAGTTTTCGATGCCATTATTACACTGAGTTCATTAAGTGTTAATTGCAATTCTGCGTATTCGTCAAATGGATTCGATAGTATCTTACCGGATTATATTTAATGTACTGTAATTTTTTTTTTCCTTAGATGGGTGGACGATCTCACAGGCCACCTGGTGTTAAGTGATTGCTGGAGCTCATAGACATCTACAACGTAAATGCACCACCCACCTTGAAATATAAGTTCTAAGTTCTCAGTATAGTTACAATGGCTGCCCCACCCTTCAAACCGAAAGGCATTACTGCTTCACGGCAGAAATAGGCAGGGTTATGGTACCTACCCGTGCGGACTCACAAGTTAGCGACCCTGACTGTTCCAACCGAGGGTCGTGGTTTCGATTCCCACACCGGGCAGACATTGTATACTGAACAGGTTTGTTTGCTCTTTATCTGGGTGTTTTTTATCTATAATATGTATATATTTAAACTTATATATGTATGTCAGTCTTTGGTACCCATAACACAGGGACTCCTAAATTCGGGCTGGATGACCGTGGGTAATTTGTTCCTAATTATTGTAATTATTATTGTTAAAGTTCGGTCCTCTATATATATAAAAATGAATTGCTGTTCGTTAGTCTCGCTAAAACTCGAGAACGGCTGGACCGATTTGGCTAATTTTGGTCTTGAATTATTTGTGGAAGTCCAGAGAAGGTTTAAAAGGTAGATTGAATATGAAAATGTTCGGAATTAAATAAAAATAACAATTTTGTTTTCCCTTTGATGTATCCCCCGTCGGACAGATTCCTTTTGTTTGTTTTAAGGTTTATTTTGTACAAAAATTTTGGTCTTTTATTTATCGATTGAGGCACTACGAAGTCTGCCGGGTCAGTTAAGTAGTTTAATATAAATTACAGTTGATTATTTGATACGTAGCGAGAGGAAAACCTTTTGTATTCGACAAAATTCCAAGAACAAGCATCAGTTTTTACTAAGCGTGGGCGGTTCTTTCTTGTTCGTCGATCGTATGAGTCAGGTGATATGGGTGTGGGAACTTAAATATCGCGTTTTGACGCTAGTTTCACGTCGACGACCAGCGCGATTATCTCGATCGCGCTATACACGATTCATTTCGGATACTATCTCGTCGAAGCGGTTCCAAACGTAGCCCTAAAATTGGACGCAAGCCAGCGCCTAAAGTCGGACCGCGGACATGATTCAACTACAAACTAGTGTTTACTCATCACAATTTCATCTTGAGTTTACGGCGCTCTTTTGAGCACACTGAGTTTCTCGTTGAATCNCAGCGCGATTATCTCGATCGCGCTATACACGATTCATTTCGGATACTATCTCGTCGAAGCGGTTCCAAACGTAGCCCTAAAATTGGACGCAAGCCAGCGCCTAAAGTCGGACCGCGGACATGATTCAACTACAAACTAGTGTTTACTCATCACAATTTCATCTTGAGTTTACGGCGCTCTTTTGAGCACACTGAGTTTCTCGTTGAATCTCAGTGGATCGCGTTTCCGATCCGGTGGTAGATTCTACGAAGCAACACTCTTGCTAGGGTTAGTGTTAGCAATAACGTCAGGTTTGAGCCCCGCGAGCTCAAATGGTCTCTCAAGATCATCAGCTAAGGTAGGAAAAAAAAGGCGTTCTTTATACGCGAAGCCGCCGCGCCGTAGATAACCTTGCCAGGTCCATTGCGATCTATCTGACCGCGTTCACTCGAAAAAGCGGCCCGAAATGACCGGTAATCGCTGTTCCGATGCGAGATAAGACCTAAACGAATATGTAACGCCGGTCCTCCCACGACCGAGCACAATAAAAACTGGCTCCGGCCCTATTAAATAAAAAAATAAAAAAAACGGGCAATAAATTTTTTTTTTTTTTTTTCGCGTCCGTTATTCACGGCGGCGACAGTAACAAATGACGTCTGCACGGATTGAAGCCGTCCTCGCGAGCTCGCACCGAAACATTCCGGTCTTATAAATGTCCCTATGTAACGGGATATCGAGTTATGTAAATCTTAGCCGAATTTTATGTTGCATCTGCATAATTTTTATAGCGGGGCTCTTAATTAAATTTTTCGATTGATTCGAAACACGGACCACGTGATCTCCATCCGAAACTTATGAGAATGCACTACTTATGTTTTCACAGGGCGATTTTAATTCGTGTTTCCGTTGATTCAATTTGAAGAATCTTTTAATACGATCACGAATTCGTTATTTGCGATCGAATTTCCTATGAAGCCGGCTGCCTCCGGGAACGTAATCGCTCCGATATGGTGTCGGGTGGAAATCGTGAATAATATGTTGCCGGGAATCGATTAAACTTTAGTTCTAGTACCGGAACGATGATACCGCAACCAGATAAGGGCCACGGCCGAGCGGCCCGGAACCTTTCGTCCGAGCCAATCATCAGTCCTGACGGGCCCTAATCTCTTGAAACTTTTACGAGGCAACGCATGAATAATTCCCGAGAGGAGTAGCTATCGATCGCACACGTCGAGGTTTTTATTTATACGGCGCGGGTGGGCGAGGCGCATATTAGTAAACAGGCGCAGGCGCGTCGCAGGCGGACACTCACCGACTTGCAGCACGTTCTCCACGCAGCCGGCTTCGAGCAGCTTCAGGCCGCGGCAGAAGGCGATGTTGCGGTGGTCGTCGGGAGGCGCCCGTGCTAACGACGAGTACATGCAGATGTCTCGCTCGTCCCGCGGGAACGACCAGTACACGACACGACGTTGTACCGGTTCCGGGATGCGTTCGTAGCGCTCCTCGATCCGCTGAAAGGGAATGTTCGCGGCCACTATCTTGGCGGTGATGTCGAGTAGGGTCGGCGGGGCGCGCGGCCGGCAGCATGCGCGCGGCGACATGGCGCTCGCTTGGCCGCTCGGCGCGGACTGACTGCTCTCAGCCCCCCCTGCACCACACCTCCTCGTTTAACCGATGCCTGGGGAGGTGCGCCCCAAATTGACACACCGCGATAAATTATTCATTTGGCAGGCATAATGTGCGATATATTATTAAAAGTTGGCATTTTTATATTGTTCTGGGCGCTTAATATCGATGAGTGGGAATTTGAGTATCTTTCTACGCTGCTTGAAACGAGGTGAACTTGTCGATTGGACGTTTTTAAGGTTTTAACACTCTTCCGATTGAAATCATGTTTTCGTATCCAAATCTTTTTATATATCCATGAAAGCCAGATAAGTACATGGTTAATCCGGTCATAGGTGCTTTCGTTTTTGAATATCAGGGGCACAGTTACATGTGATTCCTACCGCGGGGAAAACTTTTAAAATTTCATATAAAAACATTCCGTGCTCCGTAAAGGTCACGACCCTCAGAATTTAGTAACACGCTGCAAGGAGGATGAAAAACAATCCAAAAAATACAGTCGAAGATAGCTCATTCCAAAACTTGGTGGTATGCAACGCTGGAAAGATTTGGTGCGAAACTCAGCAGGATGATTCTAAGGGGAAATGTAACAACACAGAGCTCTTCAATAAGTTCGAAGAGTATGGAAACATTGACTTTGACAAATAAGGGGCTTACAGTATCGAGGCCTTGTGAAGAAGTATAATTTCAATAGCGATTTCAGAGGATGGATTCGAGACCTAAATAGTCAAGAAAGCTTATATTCTTCCCGTACCACGGTGCCTGATGATTAACCTAAGAAGCAGAATTGTTAAGATTTGTAGAGAGACTATGTAGGTGCGGGCTACATAAGCGCTGCCTATACTTGTATGAGCTATAATCAAATGTACGCAAATTTGATTTTGTCGTATTTTTCCAAGCGAAGAGCTAACTCTACTTGAAAATCAAAGGCTTTTCCACGATAAAAGCAGCGATAATTCAATATTTCCACGATAATTACGGACTGACTATGTGATGCCAAATTGAGCTTCCTGGCTCAAGACATCAACTGGCGTTCTGCGTCTCAAGCCAGAAGGAACTCGCGTTGAGCATCATCATTGAAATTCTGAGATTTTCGTAGAGCCGACTTTGATGAATCACTTCCGAAAGCACAGTCCAAGAGTAAGACGAATTCCGTCATTTAAATTGTATTGTGGAATGGCTGTCACCACCTAATTTAGAACTTAATACACATTCGTGGCAGAAATGGGCGGGATAGCGGTAGCTACCTGGTTGGCCGATGAGTTTTAATGTTTTAATTTCATACCCTATTCTGAAAATTGATCAAGATGCACGCGTGATTCCGGTTTCATTACATCGATTAAATCAACGCCGTTTCTCAACATTAACCAATAAATATACAACATAAAATATGATCTATTATATTTTTTGGCATTTTCCTCCTCACCTCGTTTCGGGACTATTTACAGGATCTATTTTCAAAATTACTTGCAGCTTCGAATATAAATGTTTTTCATAGGAATTTTATAATCTAAAACTATGTTTCAGTAAATTTTTTAACATAAATATTATTATTAAATGACTTAAATGTATGGAATCATTTGGGGCAGTCAATTTATCAAGTTAGTGATATGCATATATATTAACTGATAAAAATCTGTGAAGCAGGAAACGCAAAAGTAATGACGACTGTTACGCATTTGCCTCGTCTCCTCACATTATACAAACGAAGGGGAAAGGAGTGCGGGGCGCGGAGGGAGGCACCATTAACAGCTGATGGCGGAGACGAGGGGGGGGAGGAAGACGACGTCAGGTGTCCGACCTGTGCCCTCAGCTGTGATGCAGTGAAGCGCTAAAGCCGCTGAATTGAGTTACTTTTGTTTATCTCTTGTTTTTTTTTTGTAAACATTGCCTTCGGAAAACCAGTCGTTTGAACGATTAGAAAGCGTGAAGCACTTGTTGCTGTAATCTGTATAAATTTGTTGGACTGTAAATTGCTAAGTGCGTGATTAGTGCTGTTATGATTAATACATACTTTGTGTTTTAAGCACGTGTGTTCAAATTAACTTCAATTTTTTAATTTGCCTTTCTACAATTTGTTTATATGCTTTTTAGTTACAAATTTTTTTTTTTTTGTACTTTTGCCTTAAATTATTTGAATAAACATTTAAACGTTTATCGTATTTAGAGTAGATAAGAACGAAACGTAAAGCTATAAAGTAGCGCACAAAAGCGATAAACACACGCAGAGAATAGAAAAAAAAAAGCCGATCTGAAATCTAAATTGTCAAGCGCTTACTACGCTTAATGTTCAGCTTTGGCGTCTCGGACGGACGACACCGAGGAAATCCCGACAACTGTATATATGTATAACGTATAAATAGACTGTGTACATAATAATAATACCGAGTTATGTCGAAGAACAGCTGATTTTACAAATGAAAGTGAATTTAGTCTTACGTTTATACTACGTAGGTACGTGTTTTTTTTAAAGCTAAAGACGCTTACGTGCCTAGCGAAACAATTTTTTTTATTATTATAAAAGACGAATGCGAAATGACGTGATGATTCCCGCCGATAATTTCAGGTAAACAAGATGCAATCGTTCGTTATTGATATAGATAATACACATAAATTAGTTATACCGATCAGTCTTCACGTCAAAACGTGGTATTCATGTCATTACGTGTGATGTGGCGGTAGTTATCAACACAAGATATTTGACAGATGCCTGAATCTCGCTTACGACGTTAACAACATTCAGGCCGTCGGTCTTTTTATTTTTTTATTGCTTAGATCGGTGGTTGAGTTCACAGCCCACCTGGTGTTAAGTGGTTACTGGAGCCCATAGACATCTATAATGTAAATGCGCCATCCACCTTGAGATATAAGTTCTAAGGTCTCAGTATAGTTACAACGGCTGCCCCACCCCTCAAACCGAAACGCATTACTGCTTTACGGCAGAAATAGGCGGGGTGGTGATACGTACCCGTCCGGACTCGCAAGAGGTCCTATCAGTAACTGTCCAGTCTACCGAGCAATATCACCCGCTTGGTGGAAGATCACCCCTTTGTCGTATACCTCCACAGATAGCAGCTTGGTTAACGACGGATGGTAGATTCAACGAAGCCCAGCTCTTACCAGGACTAGTGTTAGCAACTATCTGAACTTGAGCCCGTGGTCTCACCTTACCAAATTATGTAACTGGATTATCTTTGGCTACTGGCGATTAGGTGAGGAAAAAACAACTTAAAGTTCTCTTCAGCGTTATTCTAGAGTCAATATAGAAGACAGTTCAATACAGATAAACGGTTTGAGTAAACAGGTTCTTGAGTGGAGACCGTGAATTGGCAAACGTAGTGCAGGTTTCCTCAGGGTCGGTGGAAGAACGATATATGTGGAGTTGTTGGCAAGAGCTGGATGAGAGAAGCTGAGGATCAGCTGGAGGGGCCTATGCCTAGCAGTGGGCTACTATAGGCTAATGGTGATAGTTGCGCGGTAGAAATCTTCGGATAAGACTTCGGATAATACGCGCTAACGTCATGATTGATGACGTCCAATGTCGATTTCTTCTGCGACATTTTTTTGTACGACGTTAATGAATCATGCGCGGTAAAAAACATAAAGACTTTATGCCTTCCGTAAGATTCGTGGTGGGGCGCGCTGCGAGCCCGCATATCCTGTCATGGCTCACGGCCACACGTCACGAGTCGCGCTTTATCCAATGATCAAGTCAGAAATAGCTTTCGAGCTTTAATATCCTTAAACTTGGAAGGCAGGCCTTGTTTTTGATCACCGGAAACATCGGATACATGTTTCAATTGTTTTTTATCAATCGGCAAACGAGCATCACCGTATGCCTTAAGGTCGGCCTGATGGTGAGTCGCTGCGGTCACGCGGTAGAGCACTCTGGGCCTCGTTTGTAGAAGAAAGAACACGGGAAGAAGACGGGAGTGCTTTCCAGATACGGATGGTACGTGGAAAAAAGATATCTGAAAACGCACTGTCGATGATTGGTTCCGAATAGTGTGCATGAACTTTGCTCCGGTGGCGGGAGGTGTGATGGTAAGAAAGAGATGGAGCGAACATCCCTAACAATTCAACAGTTGTATTGCACATCACCTGTCCCACCCTTCACATCTCAACATATCACTGCTTCCCAATAGCAGTAGCACGATGGTAATTTATCCGTACAATGCGCTCTAAATCCGGCGTAGCGACCTTACCTTATCAGCGAGGACCCAGTTGAGTAGGAAAATAGTGGGTAGAAGAGTAGTTTATTGACTTTCCTATCTTGAGGACGGCGTTAAACATGCGGTCACTGACGGGTCAACTGGAGATGGTATAAATGAAGTTAGGAGCAGATAAATCTGCTTACCTACCCTCTTTTTAATATATTTTTTGGTGTAGCCACAAGATCTCGATGGATCAATTTAGATAATATCTAAAAGACCCAAGTTGGATGTTGCTTGAAGTCGCCATGTTTGTGAATTTGGCAATATGTGTGTGATTAAAACTTATTGTTATACTGTCTATATGTAAAGAAACGTATGTGTCAATAAATGATTCGGCATTCGCATTTGATACGCGTTTCTTTGATGGATCAGAATTGAGGAAATCTGTCAAAGAAACAAAGTAACTGACATAGCCTTAAAGATAAGCAAGCTGAAGTGGCAATGGGCCCGCAATATGTGTCGCAGAACTGATGGCCGATGGAGCAGACGCGTTCTGGTATGGAAACCACGTACCGGTAAGAGCAGCGTTGGGCGTTTCCCTGCCCGGTAGACCGGTGACTTGCAGTGATATGATGGAGAAGATTGGACGCGGAAGGTGGAGGACCGTTCATTGCGGCGGACTATGGGAGAGCCAGTATCAGTGGAAAGATACAGGCTGACGAATGAGTTTGAAATAGAGAGCCCTTTGACCGAAGAATCGAAGGCTGAAGAATATCTTGTTGGTGGTGTAGAGCAAACACGTCTTACTACCGATGTTAATGAAGACATTAGACGGAGATTTACATGACTAAACGAAAATCTTCAGTCTTCTGTCGAGACCGTATTTTCATCATTATCTACGCGTACGAATTCGCGGGCAAAGCTAATGCAAAATATGAAATACAAAAAGGTTTAATCTTTCTTCTATAAGTACCATGGTACATCCTTGTTTAATTACAGCTCTCGAAGCCCACTGAGTTTCACGCCGGATCTTCTCAGTGGCTCGCGATTCCGATCTACTACCGGATTTAGCGAACCACTGCACCGCTGCCAGGGCAGATCTTGGCAAAGTCTTCTACCTCTCCTGCGTGCTCGCCTACTTGTTCGTTAAAGCTAGCATAACTTCTCGAGATAATACTAGCAGGAGACAAAAAAAAATGAAATAGAGATGCTTGTTCTCACTGACTTTTTGAAATATTTAAAATCTAAGCTGATAGCCTTGAGAGGCTATTTCAGCGGAACCTTAACTAGTAGGTGAGCTCACGGGGCTCAAATCTGACGACGTTGCTAACGCGAACCCTAACAAGAGCCGTGCTTCGCAGAATCTACCACCGGATCGGAAACGCGACCCACTGAGAAGATCCGGCGAGAAACTCAGTGGGCTATACATTCGAACATTTGGAATAAGGATACGTCGAAATTTCCGATAGAAACTTCAATGAACTGGAAAACATTATACAATCGGCAACTCTTTACAGAGTCCGTCGTATCGCAATTATGAAAGCGTTTGGCAATTAGCCCTGTCAGCTCATTGTGTTCAATGCCAATTGAAAAGACTTATTGTTGTGTACACATTCAAAGGCTACATTCATTATTTGTGCCTCACGATTTGAGTTTAAAATCAGTCAAACTTTTTGGTTATGACGGTTTTATTATCTTGACAGAGACAGACATGACTCGTCCACTGCTGTGCCCGAACCGGAAGAGAGGTCTCCTCATTAGTCTCTTATCACTCGTCAGCTTTGAGCCTCGTGAGCTCACCTACTCGTTAGGTTATGCTGGCATATCCTCTAAAGGCTACCAGCTTAGAAAAAAAGGTCTCTTCACTCTTGAAACAGCGGTTGCGATTTTTGGAAGAATTCACGACTACGCGCCATTTTCCGCGTTCTGCACTGGCTGTCGTATAGGAACTAGATGGGAAACCTCGTATGAATCATTTAAAATGTCATTGCCTACAGATCGCATACAAATCCCAAGTACTTTTAGCATATCAACTACCTTAACCTTCAGACAATTTTGTTTTTATTATTGTCCATAAATTTAAATATTTGCACGGTTAACATTAGAAATAAGACAATTTTATTCAAAGCTGCCGGACGACAGTCAGACTATCTCGAGATGCACGTAAACAAAAAAAATACAAGTTCAATGATCTTAATTAATTGAACGTTTCCTAAAACATAACCTCTTTGCTCTTACAAAAGTCAAACGTCAGACGCTGACGCATTTAGATTGAATGTGAATCGAATTCGGCTTAATTCGGCGCTCAAAACGGCTCTGATGTCTTCTCTTCTAATAATTATTACAGTTGACCCGGCAGACTTCGTATTGCCTCAATCGATAAATAAAAGACCTAGACTTTTGTATAAAATAAACTTAAAACAAACAAAAAGAATCCGTCCGACGCGGGACACATCAAAGGAAAAACAAAAATTATTATTTTTAATTAAATTCCGAGCATTTTCATATTCATCTACCTTTTAAAGCTTCTCTGGAGTTCCACAAATAATTCAAGACCAAAATTAGCCAAATCGGTCCAGCCGTTCTGGAGTTTTAGCGAGACTAACGAACAGCAAATCATTTTTATAGATATAGATAGATACAGACGGTCAAGAAGAAATAAATACGTATGCATGTACGGCTTATAAAGTAAAATAAACAAACTTTAAGGTTGATTGCGATCAATAGGCTTAACAAATTAACGAAGCGAATGCCTGATGATTCATTCATTTCGTTCAGTGGGAGTGGAGGGAGCGGGGGGTGGTAATCAGTTACCGATGCCAAACACCAGTCGCAGTTCTACCGGTTGTTAATCCAAAAAAATGTCGTCTTTTTTCGAAACAAATGTTTGGTATGTGCAAAAGTATAACTTTGTTCATTTGGATACGTGAAATATTCTCATTAACCTAATATCATAGCGGTGAAAATATCGAAATATACCTACAAAAATCGCACTGGCAAATTGGTTCGACAACAGGGAAATGAAAAAAGTTATAAAATAAATGACAACGTGAGCCTAAAAATTAGAATAATCTTTTTTTAAACTTTATAAACCTAATTAGGATGTAAGTAATTATTGAAAAGATAAGATAAAAGTCGAGTTAATAAAAGCATGTTATTATGAAAAGATATCGACAAAATTTCATGTAGGTACCAAGTTTCGTTTATTTTGTTTTTAAATTATAAATATCGACTAAAATGAAAAAGCCGTTTCCACGAAATACTCGAACAAAAAAATGTAATTCAATATTCCAAAAGGACACGAAACCAGTCTCGTTTACGAAACTCGTGCTTGCAACAAACATAAAATTTTAGGATGTATCCGCAGATCGATAACGCGTACCGAATTTAAACTGCCGTGTCCCCGCCATTTTTGTTGGATCTAATGAACTATTAAACTGCAATTTGGCTGCGCGATGGCTGCTAGGTGGCGCTGTGCGCACGTATTGATCGCGCGATGGGGGCCAAATATCTCGACATCAACTTCTGCCAAGTCACGGAATGTATTGCCAGCTATTGTGGCGAAAAATGGGGGGGCCGCGATGGATACTGAATGCCACCCGGCGGCTTTTGAGCTGAGCGCTGCAATGGGGGCACGCAATTTAAGAACTCCGGTTTTTTATGCGAACTAATCTGAAGTAGAATGGACCTCGTTCGGATCGTGAGTGTACGAGCCGTTCTAACTTGAATGAATAATAACCGTGCTTGTTAAGTTTTTAAGACGAAAAACGTTCCTGTTTTCATATAGGTACGGTATCCAGAATAAATGCGTTATTTAATTTAAGGAAGATTTATTTATATTTTCAATAGTTTTGGCTAGGTATGTTTGGTGACTTTGTATTTTCGTAGTCATAACCATTTACTTACATGAAAGCTTAAGTTAATTATTTCACTCTCTTCCTGTTTATACTGAAATAATAAAACTGCTGTCGATAGTAGTAGGTATCTTATTGGATTAAGCATAAACGAAAGAATCGTTACCAATTACTAATTAAAATACGATGAGCGAATCGAGTACGTTAAAATATTTATGTTCCATTAAACTGATACATTTTTGATTAAGATATATCGATTTGTTTCGATGGCTTGAAATGAAAATAATTAATTGCATTTGAATTAATCATAGCAAAACGCCATCTTGTTTGAAAGCTGGTGTTACGGCGCCATCTGTTGATACGTTTCAGGACTAGACTATTTAATTCTAAGCACTGAATTCTATATTAGATTAATAGGTGGCACTGTAATCGTTGAAATGTTAAATCGTCGGTGTTGGAGGATTTTTCTAGTAATGTTATTAGATTAAGTACCTATTTAATAGAAAAATATATTTTATTTTGTGACATGATCTGACCATACGGCTTAATCGTGCTACTATCGATTCTTAGTTCTATGAAAGTAATATCGATGATCGAATTGGTTCAGTAACGATTATAAAATAAATAACCTCATCCTTACTGAGAGTTATAAAAAAGATATTACCTTTTGACAAAACGTAAGTCCAATACGCTTAACGTTTCTGTTGAAGTGAGGTTAATAAAATATGTTTTATTAGTAAGAAAAACATTTTATTTTATGAAACATTTACTCAACAAATATTAAGGTCCCGGTAATTCGTTGTACCTTACAGGATAAGTTAACTGGTTGCCTTTGTCCCAAGAGTACAGCTCCTGTGAATGTAATTTTGTGTTTAGACTCAAATATTTATTAATATTTATATTATTTAACATTAGTCAAACTTGGCCCAAACCACCTTGCTTGGCGATCTTTGCCTTCAATTTGATTTGGTCGCTAGCAACTTTCATAGGATTACCCGCTGGGCCAATCGGAACATAAATAAAGAAATCGATTTTTGTACGCCTAATAAATTGAAGAAATATGTTGAAAACTTTAGCATTCTCTGTTTCTTATCATCTACGTATGTTTCAGGTAGTAGATAAGTGTTACGCGCTGGGGTTCGGGATAAATAAAAATTCTATCGAATTACAGGTTAACACTGTATTCAACACGTAGAACACTTTAAAACTCTCAATTCGCTTTGCTTCAGGTGATCCGTTTGCTGTTTCGCTTCGAGTAATTCCGATCACTAACTGACTGCGTGCCATCTCTGCAACCCTTTTATAGCCGATGCCACATCCCTAGAATTATCGAGAATATTCCACACATCTCTAGTATTGTGTTTCCGCTATCTGACAATAGATGGTGTTGTACTTCTCGAGCGTTCTAGGTACTACTAGATCCTTCTATATTCGTTAGATTATTCGGCGATAGATGGTGTTACTCTTACCGGCGTAACAATAGTTAGGACTAAAAAGAAGTAAAGTCAAATCGTCACCGGAAACACTGTACTCACCTTATGAGTGTGGTCATATCCTAATTGCGTGGTCTTCCGAAAGGGATTAGTGAACTGCAGCGAGACCTCAACCGGCTTACTCCGGTACAGGTCTATGGCAACTGTCACCTTACTGTCTCTGTCAGTAGCGGAGTCTAAAGCGTACAGTACACCGCATACTATGAACATTTCTCCTACCTAAAACGAATACTTATGGTTTAGTTGTATGGTCGTTGATAAAGCCATATGTGGCTACCGGTAATAGAAGACGAAGCAAAATCAATCGCCTCAAAATGACTTGACCTTAAAGCTCCATAGTAATATGTATGTCGTCGAAGTCGTCGTGGCTTAAAGGATAAGACGTCCGGTGCGTTCGTGTTGAGCGATGCACCGGTGTTCGAATCTCAGGGGAGTACCAATTTTTTAAATGAAATACGTACTCAACAAATGATCACGATTGACTTCCACGGTGAAGGAATAGCATCGTGTAATAAAAATAAGACCTGCAAAATTATAAGGACCTATTGTGAGTCCGCGCGGGTAGGTACCACCATCCTGCCTATTTCTGCCGTGAAGCAGTAATGCGTTTCGGTTTGAAGGGTGCGGCAGTCGTAACTATACTGAGACCTTAGAACTTATATCTCAAGGTGGGTGGCGTATTTACGTTGTAGATGTCTATGGGCTCCAGTAACCACTTAACACCAGGTGGGCTGTGAGCTCGTCTACCACTACAGCACCACCTAGTCAGTATGATGGCAGTGAAGAACGTAATAAAGTTTTATTATGTCTATGACGCACGAAAACCGATTATAATATTAATTATTATATTTAAACTTTGATTCAGCGTAATATGTCTCGCAGATACGCGTGATAATTTATAAGGTCAATTTTCTTTTAATAATTCTTCTAGAAACTACTAAAGAGGTCGTCGAAGAACAAGTTAGATTAGACCTAGTGATAAAACACTTATATACTTTTAAACATCACTAGGAAGATTCTGATTGTGGTTTTCGATAATCAAAATATATTAAAATACTCACTTGTTTATGATTAAGTGAAATGTTCCATACGTAATCAATGTTTAAACTGTCTTTATTTGGGTCGAAGCTCAACTGAAATAAATGCAAAACATATTCTTGATACTAGACCATGAAATCATGTAACTAGTAATTATGACTAGTGCTTATCAAACAACAGCAAAACATAATAATGAAACACCAAATCTTAATGCGAGTACACGTCATTTCGGATCCTCCCGATACTTTTAGGTACCTCAAGCACCGGTCATCGTTCTCGTCGAACCCGACGCTTGCGACGAAGGGCTCGACGAGTAAATTAACCCTCAGAAACAGCCCACTGAGTTTCTCGCCGGATTTTCTCAGTAAAAAAGTAAAAAGTAAGGTTCTCGCTTCGATCGTGGCTGATCTCTCTGTCTTAGCGATCGTCAATTTGCTTTATGGCCAGTCGAGGCTAATGTTGCCAGACCGCGAATCAGTCATGCGTTCGGGTTTGAAGGGTGTGACAGGCGTTTTACAATAAAACCGAGACGTCTTTTGGATGATGTAGTCCGTATTAGGGTACCATTCGATCCACAGGATCGGGAATGTGAATCGTCTATGGTCGTTCGGGTTTCCCTTCTTCATCATCTAGGTCTGGACTTACTTACCTTTGCTACTGCTGTGTTGTTGGAACTTTCTATAGAGTAGATGGCCCATAGTCCGTTGTCGTCAGCGCTAAAATCCACCTGAAAGAAGCAACTTGCAGGACTACAAAGATATTTGCCACATGTAACGAAATCATGTTTTGTTCACGTTAATCGAATGGTGAACAAGCTTGGTGCTATTTCTGATTAAAATATTAGTACAAATTTGTCATAAAAAATAATTTGGTCTTTTTTTTTTTATTGCCCTTGTAGGCAGACGTGCATACGGCCCACCTGATGGTGAGTGGTTACCGTCGCCCATGGAACTTCAACAATGCCAGGGGCAGAGCTATGCCACTGCCTACCGGTTGGTTGGTTGTCTGTAAAGTCGATTTACGGACGATAGTTGTACGTGATAACGTCAGTAGCAGAACTATTCGAACTGCTAGCTCTGACGTCACGCGAGAAGAGAGATAAATGTGTCACTAGCCAACGCTTCAGCTGATCGTGCGTCTCTGTCGCTTATTCTGCGCTCTTGCTTGCAGGCTCAGGCTCTAAGCGGAACGTGACACTTTTTCGTGCGTGCAGCCGGTGATTACCGATTTACAAGGCGTTGTCACGTCAAAACTAATATCGGGTAAAATTAAATTTATATAAGAAATTACATATAGCTCTTTATATACCTGGTTATGTTGTGAAGTGTACAATCGTCCATCAGCGTACGGAAGATGTGCTGATTTAATTCGGCTCTGTGTGAGGTCGTATCGGATGATCTCGCCCGGTTGTCCCGACTCGTTCGCTTGGTAGAAGAAGGAGCCGCCGTACACAATGTGCCCGTTACCCTGGACACAAGATGTTTGCCATAGCAACCAAAATGGAATAAATAAATAATAGTTTAAAAAAACTAAAAAACACGCTTAATATAAAATTTAACAAAAATTTTAAAATAAATTTTCATAAATTTAAATTGAAATTAGTGTAAAAAAATATATATTTTATTGTAAAAAAAGCGTGGGGTGCTTTTTAAGATATTATTGATAATAATATAATAATTCTTCTACTCATATCTGTCAGAAAAATATTTATAACTTTTATTTGTATTTATAACTTATTTAGTTGAATTTTATATAAAGCGTGTTTTTTAGTTTTTTTAAACTACATATTATTTATTTTTCATTTTTTAGTCGAATTTCAATTTCAATTTTTTTTTCAATTTTTTTTTTAATATTGAATTGTCATCGGTCCTCGATAAATCTACAAAGTTTGAATGAAATCTGGCCGTTTAAGGTGGGTCAAAATCGCGTCTAAAGGAGTCCATTACAAACATACATACAAATGTAGCTAATATAAAGCGTGTAAAAATATATTTTTTTATTATGGTTGGCTTACTGGTGGCCCGGAGGCCTTTCCAGTTTCACCAGAACAGGTGGGCGAGCAAAAGCTCAGCCAGGAGGGGTGGGATTTGCTAACAGCTACCCGAGTGCCTCCGAAGGAGACCTAACAGCTCAAGAGTAGCTGCTTCGCGAATGAATCTACTACCGGATCGGAATCGCGACCCGCTGAGAAGACCCGGCGAGAAACTCAGCGATCTGATTCATGGGTTAGGTTGCACGGCGAACTCTTTGTCGAGTTCGACGAGTACGGTTACCGAAAATTAAATTGTCACGATGTTCGGAATTCTGTACATGAGTTGGGCGTGATTTTGAAACTTACGTAGAACGGTTTCTGTAGTTTGTGGAACTCGTCGACGTGGTCCGATTTGAAACTGGCTTTGTTCCTGTATTCCCGGAGGCGTTCTATGTCATTCTCTTGTGTAGTCCAAAGCTTCTCTCTCTAAGGAAGATGACAAAATGCAGCAAATATAACTGTATTATATTGCGACAAAATGATGTCTTTATTTATTTTTTATTGCGTAGATTGTTGGACGAACTCACAGCCCACCTGGTGTTAAGTGGTTATCGGAGCCCATAGACATCTTCAACGTAGATGCCGCCACCCACCCTTACCTTAGAGATATTAGTTCTAAGGTCTCAGTATGTTGCAACGGCTGCCCCATCCTTCAAACAGAAACGCATTACTGCTTCACGGCAGAAATAGGCAGGTTGGTGGTACCTACCCGTGCGAATTCACAACACGTTCTACCACCAGTAATTAAGCAATTAATAATTTTGCGGGTTTCATTTTTATTACACGATGTTATTCCTTCACCGTGGAAGTCAATCGTGAACATTTGTTGAGTACGTATTTCATTAGAAAAATTGGTACCCGCCTGCGGGATTCGAACACCGGTGCATCGCTCAGCACGAATGCACCGGACGTCTTATCCTTTAGGCCACGACGACTTAAAATTCTTAATATAAAAGAGAGCAAATAAATAATTATTATCACGATAAAAGGATGCAAGGCATACATTATTAAGATAGGACAATGACTTATGAATGTAAATGGATTTGTTTTGGGCGGTATTCATTACCTTAGACCAATGGGTAGCTTGGTCATTAAATTCAAAGATGACCTTTATCTTTTTCATCTGTTAATAAAATTGTAATTGCCATTGTTCAAACTACAGACCCAGATCAGTTGAAATTTTGGGAGTTCTTATTGTAACGCTGAAGGTGGTGTTTGTCTGGACGTTACATTGGAAGTCCTGAAAGGAGCTACCAGTATATCAGTCGCGTCGTACAAGTCCCTACGCTTTCGCTCCCACGGGGTCAGATATTTCGAAACACATCAAGCCGACGTGCAGTGCCGGTAGCCAAAGCGTCATACCAAAATTACCTGAACATCTGTGGCATTAGAATCCCGCAGCCAAGCGCCGAATAGTTCCTCTTTGTAACGATGATAGACCGGTTTCCCAATTGCGTATAGTTGGCAATCTGGATATGAAAGTGATATTGGCATTGTTAAACGCATCTCCAAGTGATGGTTATTATGGAATAGTAATATAGTATTTAGCTAAACAGAAATAATGAATAAATGAAAATAAAAAAATTGTATGGAAATGGTCCGACAATTTTTTAAGTTGAAACTTTGTAAGTTTGAAACTTTTATAGGCCGTTGAGAGTAAAAATTAAAGCGTACCACGAACTTATTTATTTTTTGACATTAAAACTGCCGACAATAGTCCTGCCTTGATTGCCTGTCAAAATTTGCAGTTGAGAAAAAATTACTGACTTGCTTTATTTTTTATTTGTTTAAAAAAGTGAGAGCTTGCAATACGCCGATATATCGGAAACTAGTTACACGTGAAAATCGATGTGAGAACCCGTTGAATGATAATGCTTTTGACATAAATTAATTTGAAATTAAGAAAATTCTCAGAAGATATTGAGAAACAGAAAGAACTATGATTTTTTTTATGGTTTATGATTTACTGGTGGTCCGGAGGCCTTTCCTTCACAAGGACAGGTAGGCGAGCAAGGGCTTAGCTAGAAGGGCTGAGATTTGCTAAGAGCTACCCGAGCGCCTCCAAGGGAAACCTAACAGCTCAAGAGTAGCTGCTTCGCGAATGAATCTACTACCGGATCGGAATCGCGACCCGCTGAGAAGATCCGGTGAGAAACTCAACGGGCTAATGCTTAGGTTAGGTTGCACGTTGAACTCTTTCCCGGGTTCGACGAGCACGGTTACCGGGGTCTCTGCTCCTGCTGTTAGAGCGGAAGGCGTCTAATGCAAAGGTTATTGCATCTGATGGATCCGTAAGGACGTGAAAGAACTATGAGAAAAGCGCTCGTATGTATGAAATGTTTACTGGTGTTCCTCCTGGGTTTGATGTAAGTAGTCGTCCCATTCATGGGTGTGATGAGGAGTTGAGCTCGATCGCACCGTGGACACGTCGGACAGGTCTGAGTCAGACACGGCTCATCGTATGACGTCAGGATCGGCGCCCGGGATCCGTATTCAATGGGCTGCATCACCTGTGTTGGCTGATTCGGCCCCGGGTCTATTGGGAAAAGGTCGATGAATTTTAAAGCAGTCGTTGGATTATACTTGACAACAAGGTGGGTGGCGCATTTACATTGTAGATGTCTATTGGCTCCAGTAACCACTTAACACCAGGTGGGCTGTGAGATCGTCCACCCATCTAAGCAATAAAAAAATTATACCTAAGCTGATAGCCTTGAGAGGCTATGTCAGCGTTACCCTAACGTGTAGGTGAGCTCTCGGGGCTCAAACCAGGAGGCGTTTCTAGCACTGGCTCTAGCAATTGCAGTGCTTTAGGCAGCGGCTTGGCTCTGGCCCTGGCATTGCTGACGTCCACGGGCGACGGTACCCACTTACTGTCAGGTGGGCAGTATACTCGCCTGCCTACAAAGGCAATAAAAAAAACAATCTACCGTCGGATCAGAAACGGGACCCACTGAGAAGATCCCTCGAGAAACTCAGTGGGCGCATAATTAATAGATAGTATTCGATGTATATATACTTACACATCAACCGAATATCTCCTTTAATAGTCTGGTTTTTAAGTTCATTTTTGGCGACGCAGCTGTATTGCCTCATATCATTGTCTCTAACTCCCAGAATCTCGAGGGTCATAATCCATCGCCACGTGTCTCCTGTAGGGATCACTTCGCTTTTGTATCTGGAACCTTCGATTGTCACACCGTCGCATTCCCAAGCGAGGACCGGTTCTGGCCAAGCTTGTATCTGGGAAATAAAAAATAATGTTCTACAATTCAGTTCAGCTTAGACCTTGGGTTGTTGTCGTCTAGTTTGAGAAACCAGGTCATACTCTCAAATAAAGGGTCTTGCTTGACCTTGAAGCTTTTCAATCGTAAACCAACAGGATAATCGGTCTCACTCATTGAAGCCCTCGGTCCACTCTTGATGCTTTTAGACTCTTCAAGCACCAATCGCCGTCCTCATCGATTATGACGAAGAGTTTGACGTGTGAACACAACATAGTTTCTCGCCGGATCTTCTCAGTGGGTCGCGATTCTGATCCGGTGGTAGATTCTGCAAAGCACTGCTCTTGCTGGGGCTAGTGTTAACAAACTCTCTCAGGTTGAGACCGTGGGTTCAGTTACCAGTACCAGAGCGTAGTTGGAATAATCTTACTACTACTACCAGCGAATAGGAAGGGGGAAAAATTAATATATAAATATGTATTTAGATGCTTCCAATTCTCACCTCGCACTCGATCTTGGCCGTCTTGTTGAAGACGTATACAACGTTGTTAGGAACTCGAATGAAAGGGCTGACTGTAATTTAAAGTTAATGTCTACGATCAGAATTGTAATATAGGACATACTCAAAGCAAAGGGAATATATGCCTGTATTGAAGATTTGAGTCTGGTGACTTCTATCTAGTTGTTTCAAAAGTCTGATATCTGATTACTTCTATTTAGATGTTACTAACTTCATGTCGCTCTAAAGACTTTTTTTCTGAAAATTGATATTTTAAAAAAAGGTGCTAAAACATTTAAATGACATTTGTGATTATCAATTAGCCAGTCCATCCGTGGCCATGAAAACTGATTTATTTGAAGAATCCAAAATAATAATCTGGAAACAATTAAGGCGCGATTAAATCTTAAAAGTTGTTGAGGTGGTATCTACGTATCGCGAAAGCCGATGGAAATGATATTTTTCAATTATGACAAAATTTATGAATCTTTATAGATCAGATATCTATCGTCTAGTCCCTAAGTACGATATACTTGTAGTATACAAGGGTTCAGTTTCAGATTTGGGATCTGGGTGTACTGTTATTTCTAATTGTATTTTCAGTACAAGATATTTCAATAAGGGATATTTCAATACTAAAGGCTTTCAGTTTGAATACGGGTATCGTTTGTTTTTTTTCTCCGGATTGTTATTAAGCAGCTTCGCCCTCATTAATCGGTGATAGCTAATCGAATAGTGTGTCTATTCGATTAGCTATCAGACAGCCCACTGAGTTTCTTGCCGGATCTTTTCAGTGGGTCGCGTTTCCGATCCGGTGGTAGATTCTGCGAATCACTGCTCTAGCTATGGTTAGTGTTAGCAACACTCCCGGTTTCAGCCCCGTGAGCTCACCTACTTGTTAGGTTATGCTGATATAACCTCTCAAGGCTATCCGCTCAGGTAGGAAAAAAAAGTTCAACAGACACTAACAATGTACTTCGACATCAGTGGTCTGGTTGACAGGCGGGAGCATTCCGTTGTTGGCGAGGCAAACATATTTCCCCATGTGCCATCTCGACACCTTCGGGATGGTAAGCACGTGCCCGCTCACAGACGCATCTCGCCACGAACCCTGAGGAGATAAAAATAAACACCTTTTGAATTGAAAACTTCCTTAGCACCGTTGTGATACGAAAGTCGATGTAACGAAAAAGCGACAGTAAAAAGAGACAGACACATAAATTCATAAGATTTAACGCGGGTGAAAATGAGATAGGAAGCATTATACAGTGTTTCTTATATTCGTGATTCTATTTGTGCTCTGCTGCCTAATATTCGTATTTAATACATTGTGAATAAATCTATGTAATATATACGAATAAAATGTAAAATAATTATAAAATTTTGTATCACTATGATCATTACTAAAACCTACAATTATTCTATTCCCGAAATTTTACATTAGCCTCATTATCTTGAAGCCAAACTTTTTAAAGTTTTTACTTCTATTTATTTTATTCTACCACGAGTGAATTGCACACATGCTTTTTTTTCGACGCTTGTACGAGCTGCTGTACTCCTGGTGTTAAATGGTTACCGTCATCAACCTTGAGAGATGATCTCTAAGTCTCAATGTCCTACCACCTTTGTCCTACCATTTAATTATGAAAATTATAATTTTGCGGGTTTGAGTTTTATTACACGATGTTATTCCTTCACCGTGGAAGTCAATCGTGAGGATTTGTTGAGTACGTATTTCATTAGAAAAATTGGTACCCGCCGGCGGAATTCGAACACCGCTGCATCGCTACATACGAATGCACCGGACGTCATCTTTAGGCCACGACGACTTATTCTTTTTTGGACTTTTCTTTACAGGTAAGCATTGGCTACGCTACCAAATTATATTAATGCTGGTCTGATGTTTACCTGTATGAGAGCTGTGCCGTCATATCTTCGCCACTCGACCGAGGGCTCTGGTCGGCCCATAGGGTTGCAGCTGAGGCGAAGGCGTTCACTCTCACGGACTATTACGCGAGTGTGGTCCTCTACAAATGAAATACAGGTAGTTTAACACAATACCTCCACTGTGTGACTGTTTGTGGATTCTTAGCCCCCAACCTCAGTAACCGGTAATTTTGAATACAAGTTAACTTAATAATACATCTGGTTGGTCTATAGAAGTTTACATTGAATGTATCCTTCACACTCTCCCATTTTTCTACGCACTTTTGGATTTTATCTTCGTAGGTTTGTATTCAATAGGAGTAAATGAGGGTGTCTTTTTTTTAATGCATAAATGGGTGGTCGAGTTGACAGCCCACCTGGTTATCGGAGCCCAACGTAAATGCCGCCACCCACTTTGAGATATGATTTATAAGGTCTCAGTATTGTTACAACAGCTGCCCCACCCTTCAGACCGAAACGCATTACTGCTTCACGACGTAAATAGGCAGGGTGGTGGTGCTTACCGGTGCGGACTCACAAGAGGTCCTACCACCAATAAAGTGTCTGCCGTTCTCCATCTCCAGTAGTAGTAGATTCATTACGATGATACGGTACGATGGTTTCGTTCATCATGCGGTCTATCCTATCAATCTTTATTCAGAATTTAAGTAACATACGTGCAAAAGTGGGCGGTATGAACAATTCTTTCTCCAGGGTATTGTTGTAGATAGACAGCCCCGGTCTCCCGGGAGCTCCGTCGCGTCCATCATTACCACGTTGGCCTTTGGGTCCTGTGGGTCCCTTCTCGCCTTTAGGACCACGGATGCCTGGGGGTCCTTGGGCGCCAGGTCTACCTGAAAAAAAGCTCGACAGTTAATCTTGGGTTAATATTGAGTTAGGTGACAATATTGTAATGTAGTTTGAAAAAGCCACTGTTTGAAAATTTTCAGTAGCTAAGTGAATTTTGGCGTTGAGTTCTTTAAAATGGCTAGTAGTAAACATAAACTTAGTTTTAATCACAGTAATATTTCAAATAAAAAATTTGAAACGGTCTAAAACTGGATTTAGATGTTTATAATTTGTCTTTTGGGTTTCAAACGGGTTCTTTGTTCTTTTCCCGCAAAGTGATATTTGGTATTTATATGTGTCAATTCACATTATAATTCAGTACTTTGGTATTTATTATAATAATTATAACTCATATAACTATAGGTATTTATTATAACTCATTAATCGTCTGTATTTGTATTTTTTTTTATGCGATACTTTAACTTTATGTCTTTGAGTGGAGATTTTGAATGAAACTGCTTACCGTCCTTTCCATCTTTTCCGTTTTTTCCAGGACTACCGTCTTTTCCGGGCATGCCATCACGACCATCTTTACCCGGAGCGCCATCTGCTCCGTTGCGACCAAACATCCCGTCGAGCCCAGGTTCTCCAGGAACACCGTCTCTTCCATCTAACCCTGGGTTTCCGGGAAATCCTCTTTCCCCTTTATAAAAGACAAATATGTTTGTAGGTTCAGTAAAAATTAATGGATTTGCATATGAAAAAAGTGATCGTGTTTCTTACCTTTTGGCCCTGGTGGTCCAATAGGTCCTCTCGCTCCTCCATGACCGGGAATTCCTGGTGCTCCGGCTTCCCCTTTATCACCTTTAGGACCTGGGACGCCTGTTGGCCCTTTTGGACCTTGTACACCCGGCGGGCAGTAGTCTTGAGTTGCTTTGCAGAATCCTTGGACCACTTTATACTGAAAACACAATGCGTCAATTTGGAGCGTATTTTGATTTAGATATCTTAAACTAAATTAATTTTATGCTGGACAAAAGATGATAGACGAAAAGACACTTTAATAGTTTGTAAGTTTCTCACAAAGCCCTTTAATTATTGTTCTAAAGTTTTAAGCACCAGTTGAGAAGAGATCAGTGGCGATGAAAAAAGACATCGACCAAAGATGATGAACGAGAGGATAGCGGCCTGATGATAACAATAAATGAATATTCACAAATTACAACCCACAGTGCCAAAAACAACGACATTAGTAGAAGACAGCTTCTAGAGCAATATAGTTTAGAATAAGTGTGAGGTAATATATCTAATATCTTCCATAAAACTATGCTTTCCGAATTCTCGACGATAATAAGTTCTTTTAGCTAAGTTACTCGCAATAAAACAGATCTTTTTATTTAACTGGAATCTCCAAAGTTAATTATTTTAGATCCTCCGTCGGTTTTCTTAAAACATATCAAGGAAAACAAAGAAGTTACCGGTACTCGAGAGTAGCTCGTCAGCCAAACCCATGTGTCGTCACCAGGCGCTGGTCCCTTCGCTCCAGTCTTTCTCATCTCTATGGCATCTTTCTCTTCTAGCTCAGGTCTCATTTTAGGATTGAAGAACTCCACGTGAGGCGTCACTGTGTTGTCTTCCTGGACGGCCGATGGTTTCTTTTTAGTGAAATAAAAGATTCAGTTAGTGATCGCGTTATCTGGTCAAATGCACTTATCGTATCTATGGACTCTTGATTATAATTGTGCGTAGCATCATATGATCTATAATCTGAAGAGAGCTTATTTTCTTTGTACCTAGTAGTTGGATTATGTAGGCGAATAACCAAACTGAGTTCGAGTCCACAATGACAAATGAGGTTGAAATCTTAATTTCACTGATAACTGATAAAATCGGATTACATACTTCGTGGCAGAAATAGGTAGGACCTATTTGAGCGGCCTTGCATTATACGCTGCCACCGGAAATAGGACATACACATACGAGATAATATCGAGGACATTAAGACCGCGAATGGATTGTAGTTCTAATAGATCATACCTCCCTTTTCTGATAGATAATCTCGCAGTACAGTTATTAGGAATATTAATAACCAGCGAATTACCAGGCAGGCCATACAATCTCTATGTTATCGGTGGTAATAAAATATTAAAAATGACTGTCCCACAGTTTCAGCTGTGAAGCTGGATGATGGAGTATGTTATGGTGATGTCACGAAGATAGCGACTCTACCTAGATCCTAGCGATAAACAAACGCTAATAGAATGGCATGAATTTTTATAGAATTGAAATTTACGCAAATAAACAAAAGGTATCTTCTGAGCTCACCAGCATAGCGTCTCTTTTTAATCGATGTGAAGTAGTTCCAGTGAAGGCCGAGAGATATGCTTCAATCTTCTCTTCTAATTTATCATCTAGAATATTTTCTAATACGTCTCTAGCATTACCATTTAATTTATCACTACCACTTTCCTTCTCAACATAATTGTAGGTGTGTACTAACAATGATAACACAGCACAGACACATGCAATTACAGAGATTCTGAAGCAACAAGGTTTCTCTGTTGGTGAATCTGTTGACACTTTTCTTTTTACGGTTCCCATATTGTTTTAACCATTACTTAATCGATATTCATTTATCTTTTAATCACCAATTCAAATTAACTCAAACTTTATTTCACTTTTAAATAGCACATTCATAAATTGCGCTCGACTGAATTATCGAAGTGAATATTGAGATATTTTGAATTCAATGTGTCCAACCAAACTCTACTCCGTAACGTATGCTATTAGCGCGAATTCAGAAGCAACAACTGTATATCGGTCGCCTTATCGACATATAATCCGAACCAAAACTGAGCTTCCTGTGCGATGATTGCACAACTCGCTATGGGTCCCGATAAACTGACAATTGAGGCTATTAAACCGGCCGGTTAAATCAGACAATCGACTGAATGTTTGAAAGACATGTTTCGTTTATAAATACGCATTAGTTTTTATGACGTTTGAAGGTATATTTATTCGGGTCTAGCTAGTCATTGTGGTTCAAGGACTTTGCAAACGCCAGGGGTAATTTCAAAATAGTCAGGGAATTGTTAGTAGACTGTGATAATTTTCGATTAAAGATACTATTTTTTTATCTCAAAATGAAATATCTTCGAGTAGATCCAAGAAGAACACCAATTTGGAGATTTTAATGTTTAGAAAAAAAAAACTACAATACAAAAAACACAAAAAAAAGGAAAAGAACTTTACTAACTTAAATGATCACGTTAGAGAAGATATACCTATGATTTTATAACAGCTTTTAATAACAGCTTCTGATTTATACATGAGTGAATGGCGGTGAGTGGAACACAGTAAGTTTAAATAAACACATTAAGTAGATATTAAACATCTAGACAAAGAGCAAAAACAAACCTGTTCATCTTTCAGCCTAAGGTGGGAATCGAACCCTCGACCCTCGGCGCGACGGTTAGGGGTGCTAACTATTGCACTGCCAAGTCAGTCATGAACTAATAACAAATGTATAATTTTTTACGCTCACTTCATAATAATTTACGCTTTAGTTGTGATTAGGAAACTTCAAAAATGATCCACGGGGAACTTCGGACGAATGAATGAAAACGATCGCGCTACTAGCTAGGCGTAATAAAATCATGAAATAATTAAAATAGTAGACATGATAGTATTAGTAAGTTTTTTACGGATGCAGATTAGGTAACTACTTAAGTCCTTTACGAAATAGCGAGTTTCGACAAAACTATTTTAAATGACATGTAAAACGAAGGACCAAATTATGTAAACGTCCAAGCTTATTAACGAAGTTCGACTAATGAAGGCTTCAGTATTGTCAAGTTAAAAGGATTAAACGATAAGAAGCCCTGTGTGCTCTTTTTTTTGTTGCTTAGATTTGTGGACGAGCTCACAGCCCACCTGGTGTTAAGTGGTTACTGGAGCTCATAGACATCTACAAAGTAAATGCCGCCACCTACCTTGAGATATGAGTTCTAAGGTCTCAGTATATGCGGGGGTGATGGTACCTACCCATGTGGACTCACAAGAGGTCCTACTGTCCTATCGCCAAGTGAGTATGCTGACGATCGAATCCTTCAGGTAGGCACCAATTTTTTCAATGAAATATTTACTTACTGTAGGGATATACTCGTATACGACAAAGGGAAGATCTTCCACCGAACAGATGATATTGCACAGCAGACCGACGGTCCGAATGTTGTTCTTCGGAAATTGTATGTATGCAAGCTTATCTTGAAGATGTCGTAAACTAGATTCAAGCATTTGTCAAATATCTTGTGCTGTTGGTTACCGCCACATTTAACACGAATTCACATATTAGTTCCACTAAGAAGGAAAAAAAAAACCTGTGATCAAATCTAACTTATAAAAAATATTATATAGTGATGGCTTAATCACTATTTAATGGAGACAACTAGAGGATCAAGGTGGGTGGTAACATGGACGCTGTGATACTTATAGGCTCCACTAACCACTTCAGAGGTATCAATACAGGGCAATGAGCTGGCTGACAAGTCGCGGAGATGGTCAATGCTTAGTCGATTTTCCGATGACTCACTCGGCCGGGCGTCCTTGGTAATCTCTCATATATCCTGCGGTTTTAGACGGGTTTGGACGTGAGGAGAGTGCAGGGGAGACGTCGGGTGGCTTCGGTAGTCCCACACACCC